ACATCTATTATAACACAGAAATAACCATTGTAACAAGGAACAAAATGTTTTAAGGGGTTTTCCAGTATTTTGAAACAATGATACAAAATATTTTAAAAATTAAATTATTTTAATTTAATAAGAAATTAAATGCTTGCTAATTCCTTGAAACATTTTCTACACTTAATTCCTTACAGAAGATAAAATGTATAACTTACATGCTATACAAAAACATTCAGACAGTATATGTATTTACAATTTTACAAAGTATGTATCTTATTAAAAGAATACTTTTTCTTTATAGGGAATACGTGTTAGGGTTAGGGACAGTTCATTGAGAAAAATATTTTAAAATTACGTCGATTCTTGGATCATTTAAAGTGAGTTCGGTGTTGAAAGAATTAACTTACATAACCACAAATCAATTTTATCTTTAAAAATGAACATTTCCCAGATTTTGTCACAAACCATAGTGTGTGATAAATATCACTCTTGTTTTTCACAAAGATCTTGTGCTTTTTGCAAAGGTCCTGACCCAAACACGTATTTGCATTTTTACATTCCCATTAGTTTTTTTAATATGTTAAATATTTTTAGGGTTCACTTCCTAATTCATGGATGTTGGGAAGTGTTTCCACAGGTAATTTCACTTTTTCCATTGGTAAGTTTGCCAAATTGCAACTGTTTCTCGATTGTGGAAACCGTGCATAGAATGTGTAGGCACTTTCTGCCAAATAGTCATTTTGTTTAAAGCAATTATAAGTGATAATTACCAATACAATGAAGACATTCTTTTCAAAGTAAAATAAGCTCCCACTTATTCCTTCAAAATTGAAAAAGGAAATTGTGTTAAAAAATGGCATTGTGACTATTTGGACCTGTTAACAGTTCATTTTGTTAATGAGCCCAAGGAAACAGACGATGCTGGATTTTATAAGCAAAGCTCCATAATAAATTTGACTTTTGACTAAAACAGACCTTATAGGTCATTATTAATAAAGGAAAAAATTTTCAATACAATTCAGATTTATTATTTCAGGCAAATAAATCAGGATCATCATCTATACTTTCTATTGAGGTGTGTATAAAATATCAATAATGTGATCACCTCAATTGTTCTCACGTGCTCACGCATATGTGTCTCACTATCAACATTTGAATGTGATTAGCATTCCATAAAAGTTGTAGATAAGAACGAATTTCACAACATAGCCCTGAATAAAAGAAATACAGGTAAAAACACTCACATGTGGGATCAAAACAATCACATATGGAATTGAAATTTTGTCTGCATACTTTCAGAATGTTATTAAACAACAATAGTAAGCACTTGACTGAACTGGTTGTAGGAAATAACCAAAGTGAACATATTTTACTAAGGACAGAGTTTCTTGAGAAGTAGCAAGACATTTTGCTGGCTTGTAGACTGAGTGCTGACTTCTGATGCATTCTGAAGAATTAAAGTAAGTTCTTATAAACTTCTTCCATGGCCCTTCTCATGATGATGATTAAATGCACATATTACAGTGTTTATGTACCAATCTGACATTATTTACTTATTTTTAAGTGCTGTCTATAACAAGCAAACCCATATGGGGAAAATCTGAATTTAATCCACAATTTTATCATATATACTTCTAAAATCCTTTAATCCTGCCATCATATGTCAGATTCAAATGTATTTAACCATCTTTTAAAATTAAACTTGTATTTTGAACTGGCCTGTATGCTCCAAAAATATAAGTTATTACGTTAATTAATATGGCCCAAACTTTTTGTCAAGGCAAAACCATATCAGCAAGGCACTTTAACAACAGTACAACAGTGACAAGTTTGAGAAATTTATTTCCAATGCAATTTTCATTTTCTTCCTCTCTTTGTTTAAGGGGCAAATTAAAAAGCAAGCATTGCAAACGTTATCATTAATGTCAAAGGAACTTATTTTTTGCACACTGTTCAACAGCTAAGAGATGTGAAACTGTAAACAGGCAGGGGACGGGCAGGAATGGGATTACATTAGAACAAGTCAAGAAAAATGCCAACCAGTTCACCGACTAACAGAACTTAGCAAACAGTCTTCCCTTCTTGGTGAATGGGAGTATTTGGCCAGGGCTACTTTTAGGAAGTACCAACCCATTTGCTGTACTGCTTCTACGTGAACATGAAGGACGCCTCAGGAGCTGCTGCACCACAGCCCCCCTCAGCTGATCTCAAATTAAGCATCACACCCATGGTGCCACGTTGGCCATCTGCACTACACAGGATAAAAAATAGGTTTTTTTTCCATTTAATTTACAGCGATCCCAGTATCTGCTTTTTACAGCTAGATTTTCAGGGTCTGTATCACCGTGTGCCCATTCCCTCCTGTGTTTCTCAGCTACACAGAAGAGGAGAGCAAGGTCCCACATACCTTTCAGAGAAAACAAAAGCGTAGCTTCAAAGACGATAGTTTAAAAAAATACATGTATTTTCCCCTTCTCACTAATAAAATATACACAGAATGTTTAACAAAACTGTTCCT